AGCTGATTATTACTAGTGCTTTATCTTGTCCTTTGATACTGTTATGTTTCCTATCACATAGGAATTATGTGATTCCTATGACCTTGTGTTGGTGTATTCAACACACATCTTGCATTCTTCACTGATTGGCTTTGGCAGGGAAAGTCCTTCACCAAACAGCCTGTCCAATATTCTGGTCCAGCTAGCTATCAAGGTCTGTGAGTAGGACTTGCTGTGGCATCCTCAGGTAGACTGGTTTCCTGCTGAAGTGTTTGGCTGGTCTGGATTAGTGCATGGGTCAGTGGGTAGATGGGCTTGGAGTTCCATAGGAGTGAGCCTGGTGCTTAGGTTTTTAGGAACAAGCCTGGAGCTTGCATTCACAGGGGCAGACCTAAAGTGTGGGTTCACAGGGACTAACCTGGCTATGAAGTAGGCCTTGAGCCTGGGCCCATGTGGGCTACTTGCCACCTTGACAACTCTGGTGCCTCAGTTCATGGAGATAGGACTGTTCTTCAACCCATAGAAACTAGCCTGGAACCAAGGTCCACTGCAGTGGGCCTGGTACCTGATGCATGGAGATGGGCCTGGTTCCTGAGACTTGAGGAATAGGCAAGATGATCTTAATAATGAGAAACAGTAGTTACAGTTTTAGAAAGAACATTTGTGTTGTATTTTTTCCAATTACTCATGAATATTTATGCCTACAAATCATTTTATGCCATCTTATTAAAAGGAAATCTAATAACAAGAAATTAAAATATTTTAGCAAGACATTGAGGTAGATGAACCTTGTTAAATAAAATGTGGTTTCACAGCTAAAGTATAACTTTTCTTTGAATTCTATTGATCCAGTATCCTGCAGATAATTATATGAATTATTAGCTTCTGGGGTTTTAAAAGTTTCTTTTAGGTCTTGGCATAAATAAATCATAATTCAAATAATCCATCTGTTATGTTTTCTAAAATAAAGTTTATTCTACAGGCCAGAAATGATAAATAGTAGAGCCTGAGGTTAAATTTGCTAATTGGTATCTCAACTTTGTAATTATATTTGTTCACAGAGCAGTATTCTCAAAGTAAAATATTATTTTTATCTTGTTTTATATGTCACATGAAAAGCCCTCTAGATGATTCAAATAGTCAGCTGGTACTGGAAGCACAGAATGGGTTCACCATTATTATTGCCTAAAGTAAGCCCGGGTGTTTCTGGGAAAGCATAATTCCCACTTACAAAACTACTCGTTGTAATTTCACCTGAGTCTGGTTTGATGTATTATATAAAAAATAAAAGCAGTAATTGCAACAAAGTGTAGTTTCAGAAGAGTTGGAAGCCCTTAGATGATATAAGAGATGTTTTCTATTTATGATTCAGTCTTAGGTGAATATTTTTATTAAAAAGACAAAAGATAAAAAGAGCTTTCTTTTCTCTCTTATATATACGAGGAGCAAATTTCTTACATCAGGTTTAAACAAAAAGAAAGAGAAAACTCATGTCCATTCAGTGTTGGTAACATTTCTTTGTATATTTGAAGAGCATGTGGAGATCGTTGACTCTGTTCTAATGTTAGACATACTAAAAATAATAATTAAATATGTATCACATACATATACACACAGAGAATCTTAAAGTGGTAGAAATTAAAATATTGGCCGGGCGTGGTGGCTCACGCCTGTAATCCTAGCACTCTGGGAGGCCGAGGCGGGCGGATTGCTTGAGTTCAGGAGTTCGAAACCAGCCTGAGCATGAGTGAGACACCGTCTCTACTATAAATGGAAAGAAATTAATTGGCCAACTAAAAATATATACAAAAATTAGCCGGGCATGGTGGTGCATGCCTGTAGTCCCAGCTACTTGAGAGGCTGAGGCAGGAGGATCGCTTGAGCCCAGGAGTTTGAGGTTGCTGTGAGCTAGGCTGACGCCACGGCACTCACTCTAACCTGGGCAACAAAGTGAGACTCTGTCTTAAAAAATAAATAAATAAATAAAATATCACCATGAGTCATTTATCAGCTGTAAACAAGGCATCTTATTTGAGTTAATTAAGTATTATTCTTGAGAGATCTGTAAAATTAACCTTCATTATCTGGATATTGAGGTCTAGAATGTTACATAAAGCTAGTATTGTGTCGCCCTCATTATTGCCTGCCTTCAACCCTCCTGGAGCCATGGTTCACTCTGTGGATTGCTTGATGTCTACTGAACAGGCCAACTCCCCTGTCTGTGCAATGTCTTCCTCCCGATCCTCCTCCTCCCCTCCCCTTTGTGTGACTAACTGCCCCATATCATTTTATCTGATTTTCCCTCCCTGACTCTGCGGTCCCTTCCTCTGAGCAACCATGGTACTCTGCTTCTCTTTCCTTCTCAAGACTAATCACAACATTTAAACTAAACCACATCTTTTCATCAGAAATAACCTCTGATAAATATTTCTAAAGTAAAATTACAATACTAAACCAGGGCTTACATTAGGAAAAGAGATTTGTATGAACTGCTGCTGAGAAATTACTTTTGAATTGGAATGGTGAAATTACATGGGAAAATAAGAACCAGATGACTTGGTAAGTGTAGGAGAGTTTCGAACAGCCCTTATTCTTCTAGGAGCGTACACTAGGATTTATTATGGCAGTGGTATTTTAAAAGCCAAATGATAGCTAATTGGCTTCTCTGAATAAAGTATTTCATATAAAATGTTCCTACGTGACCACATGTTTCAGAATGAACCCTCATATGGGAATTTATAACAAGTAAAACTTAAATCTAAGAAAAATATACCATTTTTTATTTAGTATTTTAACAATGCACTTTAGAGGCTAGTGACAGATATTGTTGCAAAAATTTTATTTCTGGAGGAGATGAGCCCAGCATGGGGTAAGCAAATTTTCTTCAAGTAGGTTCTATTTCACAATCTCAGAGACTAGTCAGTAACTGCTTTAATAATTAAGCTTTTCTTAAAATGCTTAAAGGCAGATACAACTTCTTTGAAATTGAATCCAAAAGAGGAACTATCAAGCTAGTGACTTCTGTGAAAAGAAACAGAATGAAAACAAATGTATTGTGTACATGATGAAGGAAAACAGTTGCTAACTGTGCTTAATGACAATGCTTACTTTTCCAACACTGTCTATGTTGACAGATTGTTGTAATATTTTCTCCCCTTCCATTCCTGGTGAGACAGATTCTGGCTGCACACATTCTAATGCACTCAGGTTATTGGCAAGAAGTATTGGCATTTCTATTTAAAGATCAGGTATCACTCTTTTCCTATGGTGCATACAGTGTATATATATATATATATATATATATATATATATATATATATTTCACAAGAAATACCTGTTAAAAGGAGTCACATTTGCCAAAATAACAGGAGGAAAATGCAGCTTGGCTACTTTGTTTTTTGATTTTTTTTAATTGGAAATAGATGGGCACATCATGTTATATGAGAGTAAAAGGTTTGTGAGTTTAAGAAAAAAACAGGTATATAATGTCATGCACGTTTAATTCATTCTTTGTGGCAGTGAGAGGTTGTACTCCCTTTTAGTGTCTCAGAAAGGAAGGGAAGGAATAAATCTCACCACCAATTTCCAGTAAATGTCTAGGATAAATCCTTGTTTCAATTTTTCCTATTGAAAAAGTAATCCATTCTCCATTAAGTGCACTTGGAGGGCATTAAATGGGGCCTGTTCTCTTTGAGGGATGTCTAGATAGTGTTGAGCTTAATTGCAAATGTCCAAGTACCTATCCAGTACAACACAGAAATACTTTTGGTCAGTGCTAATGCTAGCCCTGTCTCTCTGCAAATTGCTAAGAAGCAGGAACTGCTCTGTATTTATTTTGTACCCTAGTTCTTATTTGGGTGGATCTACAGGGCCATAAGCATCCTGGAGGGAAAGCCCCATCCACAAGTCTAGTAACCTGAAAATTGGTACTTTAACGAGATATAGTCTGAAAAAGGAGCATTCTCAACTACTCTGCCTGGACATCCACATGTGAGGTTCCTGCACCAAAGCCTTTGGCTCTGTAGTAAGTGCAGTTGGAACCCATAGGCCTAAATGCCACCCATACCAGCTCTGTGACTCTGGGTGGGCCTCTCTGCCTCCCCATGCTTCAGATTCTTCATCCTCGATGGGGTTCCCTTTAGAGGGGTATTGTGAGATAACAGAAGATAATTCGTATGTAGAATGTAACATAGGATCAATGGTTAAGTAATGTAAGTTATGGTACTTATTGCTAACAATCATTCTGTGCATACAACATAAATTGGTGAGATACCAGCAAAAATTCCAAAATCCCTGCCTGAATTCAAGTTCTCAAAGACTCTTTTTCTTTCTCTGAAGCAAGAATTAGGAATGTGGAAGAAAGTGACCATGAACGCCCTTGATAATTATCTTACTCTGAGGCTATCCATATGCAAGGTGTGGTCCATAACCTTCAGGGACCCCACCTTGCATAAAGCTCACTTCATTCAACCTCTGAGCTTTTAGAACTGGCTACAGTCTTGTGATCCTATTAGCTCACAATGTCTTTAGAGACCAGACTGAGTTTTTGACATCCTCTCATAATAGACTGACCCAAGACAATATTTTTGTGTGTGTGGCAAAGAAGACAAGCCCCACAGCTAACAGATGGAGTTAATCTATACCAAAAAGAACCTGCAGAGTGTAAATGACCATGTTGGCTTGGGTCAATTTATAGTAAACAAGTGCTGCTCGCTATTTCCCTTTGAGTTCTGAACAGAGTATAACCACCCTATTTGACAAGATGCAGTTATTTTCAGGAAATTGGAAGTTGCCTTCTACTTTATATTGTCAGCTGAAGAATCATGAGGTTCATAAATGCAGAAAGGAGAGCTTTATTTCTCATAAACGGTTGCAGCCAGCAGGTGGCCATTCTGACAGCCTGGGAAGTGTAGCCTCTGGCCAGAAGCTGGAAATATACTTCAAGGGAAAGGTACTGATACCAGGAACAGGAATTTATGCTCAGCACAGTGGCCAAATATACATATTTAATAAGGTATAGGAGGAGTCATAAATATTTATGAAAAGAGAAACATGTGCATGCTTGATTGGGCATCATGCTGCTTCATGGGTCCTACGTTGATAAAAATGATGATGTTAGCATGATCGGAGTGCGGTTTTCAGCCTTCTGACATCAAAAAATGAAGCAGCGAAGCCTCTGTAGATGGTCAGAACCACTCCATGGTCACTGGAAGGAATGCTGGTCAGTTATTGTGCTGAAACTGCAAGAGGGAGGAGCAGTCATGAGGTTGGCTGGAACCAGCCATGGAGCAAGTCTTCTGAAAGGGCTGGTTGTGTTTAACCCTAAGGAAAGCAAACCTAATAGTGGTTAGTGAGGGGAGGGGGCGTAAGGAGGCATGTCGGACCTCCCATCCAATCACAGTTAAGAATTCAGTTTTAAGGTTTCTCTAGGGTTCCCTTGGCCAAGAGGAGGATCCATTCTGTCAGTTGGAGGGCTTAGGATTTTTTTTATTATTATTTCTCAGTATGATGGCCAGATGTGCTCACTGTGTGGTGTACATTTTACCTATTGTCATCTTTCTTTTTGATATATGAACATGGGTAATAATAAAAGTCACCATTGCAATACTTGGGGCCCCAATACTTGAGTTTCTGCCTCACTGATTCCCCAAGATTGCTGTGGGCTATTTCTACAGGATCTGTGCAAGTTGTGTCTGTGTGGACATGGGGGTGGGAGGTACTATTGTTGATAGTGGGTAAATATAATGAAAAATAAAATTGATTTTGGGGTAAATATAATTAAAAACAAAATATTCTCCCAAATCAGAAAAACTCTCTACAAATGTAATAGAGGAAGTAAATAGTTTTATTATTGAATTAGCATTCAACCAGAATGTGGTGCACATCATTTAGCAATCCACTAGGAGATTGCAAAGATATAAAGAAATCTCACCCTTTTATACAGCTAAACAGATACAACTTATTACAAATATGATCTCAGGATAAACAATAACTAGTCCTCAAGTAAGAGGACTTACCAGCACCCTTTGTAATACATGATTCATCCTAGATTCACCAGGTAATTGTGATGGTCATCTGTGTTAGCAAACTGGCTTTATTCCAAGGAAAAATAAACTACTCATGTATTTATAACAGGAGATAGTTTCGTAACTTGGAGTCTGGTGTCCACAGAAGTTTAGTTTCTCCCTCCCATAAAGAGTGGGTAAAAAAGTATTGTCTAACTTGATGATTACCTTTCAAAGGGTAGCATCAAGTTCTTCCAGAGAGACAGGATGAGGTATTAAAGTTGGCAAAATGCCTTATTTAGCATGTAAAAAGATTTATATACCTTTCAAAGAGGCAGAGAAAGAACCTACAACTACAGGTTTTCTACAGTAAGTGCTCTTAGAAATAAAAGGGGAAATTGTCTCTTCCTTTATTTTTAATAGGGAGAAATAAGCCTCTCATTTTTAATTTGTATTTGACCTTACATTGACTGGTAGAGACAACAAAATACAATTTAAAGTACTGAATTCAATTCAGTTCAATAAAGATGTTTTAAAGGTGTCTAAAATTTAAATTGGAATTAAATCTTTTATACATGTCATCTATTTCATATCAACCATTTGCTTTTGTAAAAAATTCAAAAATAAATAGCATACAGTTCATTTGGTACCAGAGTCTGGAAATAGATAAAATGAAAAGGACAAGCACAGAGTAGAACTTGAAAAGCCATTTTGTTGGGGCCATCCTTGGATTTAGCCAATAGTTAACATGTGATCAATAAATTATACCAAAAAAGCATTTCAAAATACCCTTTGAAAGGACAGCATTTAGTGAATCATTTAAAATTAAAACATCACTATACACAATGGTGTGCTGGCCCCACTGCTTGCTTCTTGATTGTGGCTTATCTGTTTGTTTTTTAAGAACTTGTTTTGCACAACTAGAAGAGTATGGAACAGAAAGAAAAGAGCATATAGCCCCTCAGCGCCTGCCAGACCACATTCCGAGAAGTCAGATAAAACCAGCCCAACAATAAACAACTGCTCTGGAAAACCACCACTTTCCATTATCATTTTGCAACTACAACTGCTCTGCTCTCTATAACCCCAATAAAAGCCCAAGTCACTCATTCTTTGTGCTGGTATTCATTCTTCCTTTCATGCTCTCCCCTTTCCTTCCTTAGAAAGTAAAATTCCTTTCTTCAAAACCTATTTTCGTCTTTGAATTGAGAATTCTTTCTCAACCCATGGTATGAGTCCCCTGTCACACTTATGCCACTCCTCTGTTGAGCAGATACAAAAGGCACCTGGAACTCAAGCTCCAAATCATAAAACCAAAGTCTGTGGTAAATTTCCAAGTCCAGGAGATGCATGAATGTGTCTGAATAATGGAGAGTTCAGAAAACCAAATCCCTATTCTTCAGTTTTTATGGTGAATACTGATCTCCTTTTGGCCTTTTGAAATGTGTCACAGGAGAGTTATGATTAAATATTCAGAATGCCAAACATGCCCTTTGCCTGTTATCACTATGAAATGCAAATTATACAGATCCATAAAAATAAGATAGTAACTGGAAATAAAGCCAAGAACAATGGTTACTGTTATTGGAAATATCTTAAAAGTTAAGAAATCCAGGGTGGGGAACTTTCCCTTTTAAAATTAAATTTTCTCAATGCTGAGCCCCTTATGGCACACTTTTGTTCTTCTTCATGTGAAGGAACAATTTCTTAATCCATAGTACTGGCATAAAAGCAGCTTTGAGCTTTCAGAAGAGAATGGAACTGTTTCAACACAAGCCTGCTGCTCAGAATATAATATTGTCTCATTAACATAAAGGTTCACAGCTGAGCAGGGTCATTAACCAAAGTTATAAAAGACTAAGCATTCATTAAAGTATTTTTTTTACTAAAAACACATTTTTAAATCAATCTCTTAAAAATTTTACCTAAACTATAAACTCATGACCATCTATTCTTCAAAAGCTAAATAATGATCCACTTTACCTTGTCTGAGAACAAAATATCAGTATTTTGTTTTCTTCCAGAGAGTGGTGAGGCTTTCAGAAATCAGTAGAAGGTCTTGAGGTTGCATAGGGTCTGGGTGTAAACCATAGAGGGGAATGTATATGCCATGATGAGGTGTTTTTCTTGTTTTGTTTTTAGTGGTTGTTGTTTATATCAAATATAAGCATAGGTAGTTAAGAAATTGTCAGAAAATATACATTGACCCTTGAACAAGGTTTGGGTGGGGCATAATGATACCCACCCCCAGCATTAAAAAAAAAAAAAAAGCTGTGTATAACTTGTCTTTACAGCAAGCATTTCCTAACAGTTTATATAACTTTTGACTCTCCAATAACTTAATTACAAATATTCTATTGTTGACCGGAGGCCTTACTAATAACATAAGCAACTGATTGACACATATTTTATATGTTGTATGTATTATATACTGTTTTCTCCCAACAAAGTAAGGTAGAGAAGAGAAAGTATTATTAAAAATCATAATAAAGAGAAAACGTATTTAGTATTCATATAAGTGGAAACAGGTCATCATACAAGTCTACATCCTTGTCTTCACATTGAGTAGGCTGAGGAAGATGAGGAAGAAGAGGGGTCAGTACTGTTGTCTTGGGGTGGTAGAGGAAGAAAAGCTGGAGGAGGTGAAAGGAGGGGCAGGAGAGGCAGGAACACTTGGTGCAATTTTATGGAAATACATTGTAGTCTCTGTCTCACTTTTTTGCTTTTTCATTTCTCTAAAAATGTTTCTATGTGGGACACATCCTCCTTCTACTATTTTCTTTAGTTTCACTGCCCATATCATAGAAGAGCCCATGTCTCAAAAGCAGTCTTTAATAAAGAGAACCTTCCTGCTAGGTTGTCTGATGTCAGTTTGTTTTGTGGCCCTGCTGCTTCTCTGCCTTCTTCCTCATTACCTGGCTCTAGCTCAGGAGCATTCAGCTCTACCAAGCCATTCTTTGTCAATTCCTCAGGTGCGGTGTCTATTAGCTCTTGACTTTCTTCATGATCCATGTCTTGAAAAACTTCACCCCTCACATTTTCTGCTATGTCCACGATCTCTTTCATGATTTCCCTGATTGACCCTGTCCTAAACCCTGGGAAGACACTCACAACATCTAGACACAGTTTTTCTTCAGTAGAAATTTACTGGTTTTGGGCTTGATGGCTTTCATGAGTTTTTCTAAAACAGTAATGGCATCTTCAGTGTTGTAATTATTCCAGACTTTATGATGTTTTATCAAGGTTCTCTTCCATTGCTTTAATTCTTTCCATAGTTTACTGTGTGTAATGAGCCTTAAAGGTCCTTGTGACCCCTGATCTAGAGACTGAATTAGAGACATTTTGCTTGGGGGCAAGTAGACCATTTTGATGCCTTTGGTGTTGAACTAATGGGTTTCTTGATGGCTGTGGACATTGTCCAATAAAATAAAAAAAAATCTTTAAAACGCAGTCCCTTGTTGTCAAAGTATTTTCTGACTTCAGAAACAAAGCAATACAGAAAAAGTGTTCTTTTTGTCTACGCATGCTGGTGTTTATCTTTCCATTTTAAGGCTTAGGAGTTACCAAATTTATAGATAAGGGAAATTTTGATTATAATCTTGACTGCATTTGCACAAACCAATAGAATTAGCATATAATTTCCTGCCTAAAATTCTGGTGTTCGCTTCTCTTTCTTACTAGTATTTGCCCCTTGTGGCATTATTTTCCAGAATAGGGAATTTTTGCCTAGAATAAAAGCTTCTTTAGGCAGATATCCTTTCTCCTCGATGATTTTCTTGTGGCATATGGGAACTCATGCTTGGTCAGCAGAAGCTGCTCCCCCTGTTATATTAACATATTTGAAAAGCCAAACTGCTTTCTAAAGTTATTAAGCTGTCCTTTGCTTCCATCAAATTCTCCAGCATTAAACTGATCCTTCATCTTCACTTTGTTTTAAATTGTCATATTATATCTGCTTTCCTCAAATCATATTAAAGTGTGTAAGTATGACTTTCTTGGAGTAATACTGCACTCACATGAAAGCTACATTTTCAATACAAGATAAAAAGGTATTTTACAAGAAGGTTTTCATGTCTTCTGGCATAGCTGCAGTGATGGCCTCACAAATTTCCTTTTCTTTCTGCGCAATGGTCCTTATGCTGGATTCGTTTACCTTGAAACGGCAGGCCTCTGCAGCTGCAGATCCCAATCCATGGCACATCTCAAGCAACTCAACTTTTTTCTGTCATATCATGACTTTTCTCTGCTTCTTGGGAGTGCTTCCAGCATCACAAGTGGTACTTTGTTATGATTTTATAGTATTGCGCTAAATTCAAT